GCCAGGTAAACCTTCTACTTGTAGCCCCCCTCGCCCTGCTCAAACCCACAGGTAAGTGCTCATGCCCCACCTGTCATTCCCCGTTACCTGAGCGTGTGGCAAGGGCATCGACTAGCAGGTAAGCTGCAGTTTCTGCACCCTTGCTCCTCCCCCTTCCTTGGTACCGCCAGCTGGTACTTGACGCATCTGCCCGCCCCTTCCATTAGGGAAGACAGAGCAGCGCCTTACAGATAAGCCTCCCTCTTCACGGTCGACCTTTGCACTCTTTCCGTCAATCGACCAGCGGGTGGGCAAAGCATCATTCCGCAGGTACGCCTCTGCCCCTTTGTGGCCGACTCCTCACTGCTCCCTCCGTGGGTGCTCTCCCTCTGTGTGTGTGTGTGTGTGTGTGTGTGTGTGTGTGTGTGTGTATGTACGCGCAAGTTTCAGCCAACAACAGAGCGACGCAGAGGTCAACAGGTAAGTCTCCAATCCCGCAAATGTCCTCCGCTATTTTTATCGATATAACAAAAAAAAGAATCGAACGTATTTATTCCAAGATTCGGGTTAGATACATTGGTACTTTACCACTCTACTCCCTGGCGCAACCTTATTTCCTCGCAACACACAAACTAACGTCCCTCCCCGGAATCTAGTTCTACCAACTGCTTCGTAGCACCTTATAACCTTAGTCTACTATCTTAGACCGTCAGAAACGGTCACGAATCGGTTGATTTAACTAACCTTTACTCTCCTCCGCCTTCCTTCCCGACTTCATCCACGCACTCCATTTTCTCACTAACTTACATCCTATTAACTCTTTGCTCAAACTAAGTTCATATTCGGGTTCGCCCCCCCTCCAAAACTCTAGGAACGATTCCCTCTTCGCCTGTTTCTATTAACGAACGGGCGCACAATCGTCTCCCTTCCCTTTACCATATCCAAGCTTTGACAACTTCGCGCAACATATCTCTGTACTTACTCCTCCCACACTTTCTTACTCACTTTTCGGAGTCCATCATCGTGGTCGCCGCACCCAAGAACCCCTATCTAACATTCTATGTCGCTCGAATCCATCAAGGATCGAGCGAGATTCAAATTTTACACTCCCATCGTTTTCTCCCTCCGCCATAGCTTCGCGCGGCCATCCTTTCTTCTACCGCCTATTCTACTAACTTCCTCCTAAAACTAACATCGCCAACGCATTCGCCTTAGGCTAAAAGCCCAATTTCGACACTTGGATCGCCCGATTTCGTCAAGGATCGGGTGAAAACTGCGATGTTAACTCCGCCATAGCCTTCCTTCCTTCTGCGCATGCACCTCGCGCGGTAGGCCGTCCAGATCCGTTCTTCTTCTTGCTGCACCACCCCTCAGCCTTAGCGCCTGTCCGTCCGCTGCCTGCCTTAGCCCGTAGCTAGGCTGCCTCGCTCTGCCTGTCTGGCACTCCGCTTTCTGTGTCTGTTCTCCCCTTCCTCTCGGCTTGTCTGTGCCTCAATGCAGCCGCTTCCCCGGTTACTCCGACCAGCCCGACAGACGAAACGATCGCCACGCTTCGCCACCTCGATACACAGCGCCTGCTGCCTCCAGGGAAAACTTCAGTGGGAACCAGCCACTAGACGGTTCGATTAGTCTTTGCCCCTATACTCAAGTCCGACGTTCAACAGCTCCAGCTATCTTGAGGGAAACTTCGGAGGGAACCAGCTACTAAACGGCCCGGTGAGTCTATCACCTCCGTACCCCAGCCCGACGACCAAGTACCATGGCAGTATCGTTGTGGCCTCCGCCACAGTGCCCTCCGCCACAGTGCCCTCCTTTGTTGTAGCACTCTGCTGCGCTGTCTAGCTGCTGCGCTGTATACCCACTGCTGCCTGGCACCGCCCGACTTTCTGCCCTGATTCATTCGCCTTTCCCCTACTGCTATCTAAGGCTGCCCGATCGGACCCACCGCCCGCTACTCCTCTGCGTTGTGGCCCCGCCCGCTGCTGCCTATTGCCTGCCTCTGCTCCTATACCCGAGCCCCTACGGGCATGCTCACACTCAAAACTGTCACAGCGGACAGCATGACTAGGCCCGTATGCCCGTCAGTTGGCCCCCGCCAGCGCCGTAGGCCAAGCACACACCCGTTGGCCTTTCATGTTGACTCCTCGGCCCCTTTCCCCTAGATAGGCGGGACGGAAGACTTTCGCCAACGCCCCAAACATGCAGGAACCCGTCGGGACCGTTAAAAAAAAGGGGGCACGTGCCCAAGGTTCCCAATTACCGTGGCAGCCATCCAGGGCCGATGTCATTCCCTACTTGCGAAAAATCAAATCATAAAATTAAACACTACTGGGAATAAATAATAATTAGAAGAAACTTGGAAAGATAACCGCTGGCCCCATCCTGACGCAGCCGATGGCAAAGCCAGGAGGAGGGGGCGGGGATGGCCCCGCCGATCCTTCGACGTTGCGCACCCAGTTCATTATAAAGAAATTCCCACCGTTGCCGAGGCCGCTCTCCACCCTCATGAGCGTGTCTCGATCAGACGTACTAATCAAAATTTTCATATTAATTAATCCTAATCTAAATAAAAAATAAATAAAYAAATAAAATTTGACCGGCGATCACGCCGGCTCTTTAAATATCATCAATAAATAAAAATCACGTGCGCCTCAAGTGTGCGCGCCCACACACTCTCTACGCTATTGTGGTCAACCACCCAGTCAACGCAATTTATACGTCAACTTTAAACCAAAACTGTTTTCTGTTACTTGCAAAAAAAAAAACAGGGCGGATACCCTTGTAAGGGTATTCGCGCCGGCAGCTTACCGGACCAGGGACGTCGCTTCGCCAAATCGAGAAAGCTATAAATTCATCCGCACTCCAAATGCTGACGAAAGAGGAGCCAATCCAATTAGCCGACCAACACAGGGTAGAGACCTCCATCAAACCATGCCTCCACAACTATATGCTGCCAGTTTTCTAACCCGGGCCTCTTACTGCCCAGAAACTAGGACGCTGACAATCATCCTCTCCAATCGTCCTCTCCCCGATCCTAGACAACCTTCGGCTTCTCGTTGGGTGTCCCTAGTCCTGGCAAGACTAGGGACGCGGTCCTTAACCGAGACCTTAAAAGACACTCTCGTCTTCCTTCTCAAAATCTCTCGCAATCAAATACACATAAGTATATATGTATACTTAATATCCACTCGGCTCTTTCTGCAGTCTAGTACAGAAAGGCCAGGTCTCCATCTTGGTCCACCATAGCCTGGTTGATCGGACCAGGACTACGGCTGACCGCATTGTTATTTAACGACAGTACCCTCATTGGTTACGCAACGATAGGGTTTCTCCTGATAAGCACTCAATCAGGACCTCCCAAAATCTCAACCTTCACTATCCCACGGAGTAATTTCCCTGGGGCGGGCACCCCCTCTTAAACTCTTACCCCGCGGTCCCGCAGCCAGGTTGCGCCGTCTAGCAGCCATCCAATGGGGTTACGCCCTAGAGGTACTAACTTCTTTTCCGTTAGCTTGGCATTTCTTCAATATGTCTCAGAATTAGCACTAGTGGTTAGACGGGGCGTCGCAAAACAAAAACACTGACCCACCGCACGATCACGCAGGGATCTGGAGGCATTTACCAGCCCTTCCACAATAGGCATGACATCCTTCGCACGCTCACAAACAAAATCACCGCTAGGTCCACCAGGCCATGACCCCTGACTTGATCAGAGTCAGCAACCACTTACTCTGAGACATTTCTTGCCCTGCACTCATTGCGACTTTCTCAATCATTCCAAACAAAAGTGACCCTCTTCGTCAGACTTTATCACTCATCAGACAACTTACCATGCCATAATTCAATTTACTCACCTTTGAAGGTGAGTCTTTCAACAACAAAAACATCCCATTTTCCAACAATCCAAGAGGTTCTCATCATGAAACAAAACACCCCCTCTTCCAAAATCACGAGGGGTCTTGCCATAAAACCAAACTTCCCCTTCTCAAAATTTTGAGGGGGTCTCATCATATTACACAACATCACAAAACATCCCTTTTTCCAAAATCCAAGGGGGCTTATCATAAACAAAAATCACTGAGAGACCATCTTATGGATCCTCATCACAACTTAAGCAACCAACAATCCACATGATAAGCATTTTGAGCCTCCTGGACTCATAAATCTTCAAAATCTTCACAACCTTTCACAGCGGACTGCACTTCCTCCCCTTATACTCTGCCTTGTCAGTTGCCCGTGGGGAGGTCGCACAAGTATACCGAGGAGTAGACAGTTTTGCTTACAATCATATTCACTGTACCCATGCCACATAAGATGTTTTTCACACATTGTCCACACAAACTCATCATTCATCAGAGTACAACCACACATGTGAAAGAGACAAGTGATCGTCACATATAAGAATGGTCCCTGAAATAAAACCTCATCATAATATACACTCAGGGAATAAAATGTTTCACACAGAAAGTGTCTCCAAATCATAGCTCACTCAACTCAAGCTACACCAAACCCATATTGACAACAACCCCTAAAATTCATGTCAGATCTGTCTCTTAAAAGCCAGGGTGTAGGCCACCTGAATATGTACATGCCTCATCTAGATTACCCTGATCCTCAAGATCCCAGCTCAGTAGGAATACTAGAGTTCAGATCTAGACTAGTAGCAATCATAAAAAAAGTCTTCTATGTCTTAAGAGGGTATCACACAGAACCTAAGCTGATGCCTCACAAGACACCCGCCCACTTACATAGACAACCGAGCCCTACCTCCTCAACTCCTCTTGGTTTTGCCTATATAACTGAGCCCTAAGTCCATCTGCAGACTTCTCTACTATCCTACCCTGTCTATCATACATCTTACCCCCTACCTCTGAGACCTTCCCTACTGCCTTATCCTCAAGGAACTCGAGACAGTCCAGAGCCAGATGCACGCTCCTCTTGCAGTAGAAGCATAGCTGATCAACCTTCCTCTTGAACTTCTTCTTCCTGGGCTAAGGGGGTGGCAATGAAGGAGATCCTACCAAGGTACTGACAACCCCCTGCTGCTCTGATCGAGGAGCTGCGGTACTAACGACCTCCTGTTGCTCTGCCCCAGGAATTGGTCCCCCAGACCCAGATCCAGTAGCCCAAGATCCCAGCCTGCTCCTCAAATCCCCTGTCGTTGGGACGTACTCAGGCGTGTCCAACCTCTGAGGCCTCCTCTCGAGTGTCTCTCCTGGCACTGCCATGGGCTGCTCCTCAATCTCCTCTGGTCCATACTCAGGTGTGCCCATTCTCTGGAGCTTGCTCTCGATGACACTCTCCACCTCAATCCCTATCTCTCTCTCAAGAGGCTCCTCTATCCTCTGCTCAGGTGAAAACAAACTCACCTCCTCCTGCATAGTATGCACCACCTCAAGGAGCACGCTCATGGATCCCTCTGCCGAGCCCTGAGCCGGCTCACTGCTAGATGGTGGCAGCCCCTCCTCTACTGCCAAAGGTACGACTGGGCCTGCCGCCGCCACTGGCAGCGTCGCGAGCTCAGTAGGGACTCTAAACTCGAACGCCTCTCTCTCTGCCTGTCTCCGGGCTCTCGCCTCCTCTGGCTCCAGGATAGCTCTCCCCATAGGTGGCTCCTGGCGAGGCTCTGCATCAGATGGTTGTCCTGGCAATCCCTGTCCTGGCTGCCTCTGCTCTCCCTGCCTGCTGTTCTCTGGCCTGTCCACCCTTCCCTAGGTTTGCTGCCTCAGGCTCTCGATGATAGCTGCCTGGCTGGCCACCAAGGCCCTGAGTTCCTGAATTTCCACTTCCATAGCCTCCAGGCGTACTCCATGGTTTGTTTCCTTCATCTTCTTCCCTGTCAGATCGCCCTCCAATAACAAGTGCCGGTCAAAAGTGGTCTTGGTCAGGAACTTGATTTTACGATCTAACCTCTCTTCCGCCTTCCTGGCCACCCCAAACCCAGCTCTGACTGGCGATGGAAGTTCCTCTCCTCTCTGCTTCCAGAAGTCTCTCCACATCTCAGAAATCTCCGGGGCCTTAGCTGGCGCGCTGGGTGGCTGACCTGGGAGTGCTCCTGCTGCTTCCGATCTCTGCCTCTCTTGTTGCTGCTCCGGAAGCTCCCCCGCTGCCTCCAAC